TATATTGGTTAGTTAATAGCGAAATTTAAATATTTTCTTTACAATTTTATGATATCAACTACATATATTTCGTACATAATTTTACGCTTACAGGCCAAACTCATGTTTTTTTTTTTTAGATATATAGTTTGTAGATAAAATGTATTGTCGGTACTTTTTAGAATTTATTACCTGAAATTTTACTACTAAAATGCATTTTAATATTTTTTTAATGTTTTATTGTTGGTGTTATGATGTTGATTTGGGGTTAAAAACACGTAACAATAAAAAGGGCTTTAATAGGTTGGTACAAAGGTACAGAAATCGCTTGAGTAGTCAATAACTAGCTCAGCTAAGAACTTCTCTGTCTATCTATCTTCCCCATGTCAACTGACATGCCACTATTTAAAGTCTTTGTTCACAGATGCAGACAAGTTTATCTTCAAGAGGGGTGGTAGGTTTCCGACACAACAGTTGGTCATTTTGCTATAAACATGTATTGTTGGTAATTCTATAAAACGTATTGCTTGTAATATATTTTAATAAAAATGTATAGCTAGTAATTTCATAACAAAAATGTATTGTCGGTAATTTTATTTTATAAAAATTTATGGCTGATAGTTTAGGATAAAAACGAGATTTTGTTTTTTTTTGGGGGCGGGGGTCACTATTTGCCCCTAGCTTGAACCTTAACACGTTGTACTACACGAGGTTGTTTTCTTTCTGAACCGGAACGGCGTGAATTCCTATAGTAGCTGTTCGTCGACTCTGAAAATGAACTCCAAGACCTTCCTTAAATAACCTACAGGTTAAATACGCTGCTCGAAATTTGAAGGGAAAATCCTTTTATTTGTCTTGGATGAAAAGCAAACGCAGCTTTTTTTTTACCACTAATCAAAATGTACCATAAATATTTTCGAAATTTAAAAATGAAGACGCCAAACGCAGCGTCTGCTTTATTGCTGAAGTCTTAATGGATACTCAAGCAGTTTAAATTTCTTAGATAAATTCGTAGTCTTAGGAATCTAACAGCGCTACGCATCAGCCATTGTTTAATACAGGAATTTTCGAGTTTTTCTGGATCAGCGATTATGCATTAGACGCAAATTCCGCAACTTACGTGGGAAAAATAAATAAATAGGGTGTGGAAAATATAACAATAACAGCGATTCGGTGATTGACTAGTAAATCGAAAATATTCAGGGAAAGAATTTGCCGATTAAGCTGCTATAATTGATGACATTTGGGGCAAGAGGAATATTTTCATTTGAATGTTGCTATGGTGATCAACAGCTGTCATCAGCGTCTTTCGACTCGGTTAGTCTGCTTGGCTAGCCGGAAGAAGACAATTGATTTCCGGTAAAGGATGACAGATGGCCCGAAGCAGTTGCGTTAGTTGAAAGAAAATTGTAGGAAGGTGATTGAAAGAAGATCTGGATGAAGAAGTAAAGAACGGATTGATATGAAAGAAAAATACCGGAAGAAGAAGAAAGAAAGAAAGAAAGAAAGAAAGAAAGAAGAAGAAAGAAGAAAGAAAAGTAAAAGAAAGAAAGAAGAAAGAAAAGTAAAAGAAGAAGAAGAAAGAAAAGAAGGAGAAGAAATAAAAGTAAAAGAATAATAATAATAAGAAGAAAATAAAAATTAAAAAAGTAAAGTAAAAGAAGAAATAAAAGTAAAAGAGGAAGAAGAAGAAAGAAAAGAAAAAGAAGAAAAGATAAAGAAGAAAAAGAAGAAAAGAAAAAGAAGAAGAAAGAAAGAAAAGATGAAGAAGAAAAAGAAGAAAAGCTAAGATTTTTAATTTGAAGAAAGAAAAGGGAGATGAAATGGTAATAGAAAATAACGAGTGAAAATCGCTTAAACTTGAAGAAAGAGAAAGAAAGAGAGAGATAGAGATAGAGAGAGAGAGAGATAGAGAGAGAGAGAGAGTAAAAGATAAAGAAGAAGAAGGAACCGATTCATACTCCTCCCGGGTCTTTTGGACAGGAGTAGATGTTTATCCCTTGTTTCTTCTTTAGGAATGGGTTTCTGGTTCCTTCTAAAGTCTACATCAACTCTATACTTCAAACATCTCTACCAAAGCTCTGGAATTATTTACTATTTATTTATTTATTTTTCTTCAGTAGGACTAGATGGTTTCGACTATCGCCCGGTTCACACTTCTCCCTGTTTTTTTAAACAGATGTAGATAGTTATAACCTTTGGTTTCTATTCAGGATTGGTTTTCCAGTTCCTTTTAAAGTATTCTAATTCTTTTTCACTCCTAGTAGCCACCAGGTAAATTTCTAAAAAGGTACTAAAAGATGAATATCAACAAGAATTCAGTGAAGAAGAAAAAGAAAAAAAAATAATCTGAAAACAGAAAGTTAAGGTTAATGAACGAAAAACATTGAAAAAAAGGAAAAAAAAAACGAAATTTCATAGAATTTAATGAAGAAAAGAAAAAGTGTGAAAGAAGAAAGACGAAAGGAAAGATGAAGGGAATTTGATGAAAAAAGAAAAGAAGAAAGGTCTTATATACCGTACCTATGAACACTAAGGGATATGTCCCAATCCTCATAAATACGTTGGACACTACTGTAAGTGGGGGGTAATATGTGGTCTAAGTAGTCCACCACTAGCAGTGGTTTACCTACTTCATGCTGCTGGCGAGTATTTATTGATATTATAAACACAATCTAAAATATATATTCTGGCTTTAAATAACCTGCAAAAATATATATATATATATATATATATATATATATATATATATATATATATATATATATATATATATGTATGTATGTATGTATAAAACCACCAGTCTACAAATTTCCAGACCATTGAGAATAGAAGACAAACCCCTGAACTATGTAAAGTCTTTCACCTATCTTGGTAGCAAAGTCAATTACAGTTGAACTTTAGATGATGAAATCATGCATCAGATTGTTAAGGCTACCAGTGCTTTCGGCAAACTTGGCCATCGCATGTGGAATGAGCGGGCTATTCGACTGGATACGAAAATTCGGGTTTACAGAGCTGTTGTACTTGCCATCCTTTTGTATGGCTCAGAGTCATGGACTCCATACAGGTACCATATACGCCAGCTAGATGTTTTCCATAAAAGCTGTCTGCGTGCAATCTGTGGAGTTAAGCTTCAAGATAGGACATCTAACGTAGACCTGGTTAACAGGTGTAATATTGGAGGAATCGAGACTTTTATCATACAGTCTCAGTTACGGTGTATATATATATATATATATATATATATATATATATATATATATATATATATAATGGACTCTCCCGTCAGTTTCGACGTATGAGGATCTGACAGCTTATTGATTCAGTTATGAAAGTTTGTGCGATATATATATATATATATATATATATATATATAGGGTGTTGCAGCAAAATCCGACACTTGACAATAAAGAAAACGACATAGGCAATAAAAACAATAGTTGTATATGCAGATACCCGACAGTTTGACAACTAATTAACGTTTTTCTCTCTACCTTTTTCCAGGATGGAATATGAGTGCAAAACATCGGTAGTAGCTTTTTTTCGCGTTGGTAAGAAGCCTGCGGAAGTAATGGCCTGGCTTGGCTTCAAGAGGACCATGGACATGGACATTTAGAGGAAGTGGAAGGCGTGTGAGAACAAGGACGAGTTTACTGCCAAACAAAAGGCCCACAACGTTCGTTCTTCGGTCGTTAGGACCGACACGTTTGTCGCCGCCGTCAAGGAGACAGTCGACAATGATGGAAGCCAGAGCTACGCCAAGATCACCGCTGACAAGTCGACGATCTGCCGAACGATCAAGAAGGACATTGGTTACTACTACTAACATAAGTCTCACCGCATGCTCATCACGAATGCCTCCAAGGTATCGAGGAAGGTCCTGGCGGTGGCTTTGCTGAACGAGCTCAAGCACGGGTCTGCCGGGATGCTGAGGTTCTTCTCTGATGAAAAAGAATTTCATCCAGGACTAGACGAACAACAGGCAGAACGACAGGAGGATCTGCAAAGACATCGAGGAGGTTTACCTCCTCTGTCATGGTCCTTGGCATCATCTCCAGCGAAGGGGACGTCATGGCTCCGTTCTTCTTTCAAAAGGGCCTGAGAGTCACCGCTGAGATCTACCAGGACGGGCTGAGGAGCGTGGTGAAGCCCTGGATGGACGAGATCGCCGCCAGACGCCCCTACGTCTTCTAGCAGGATTCCGCTCCTGCACACAAGGCCAAGACGAACCAGGCGTGGCTGCTCAACAATGTTCCTAACGACTGGTCGCCGGACTTGTGGCCGGACTTGTGGCCACCCTCCTCACCCGACTGCAACCCCCTTGACAATTTCTTCTGTGGCGTGATCGCGGTCAAGACCAACAAGCACACCCACAACACAGTCGACTCTCTGGAGGCTGCCATCTTAGAGGCGTTCGCCGCTATGGACAAGAACAAAGCGTGTGACTCATTTCGCGCCCGCCTTGAGATGGTCGTCGCCGCCGCCAGCGGTTACATTAAAAAATAATGTAGTATGTATCTAACTGTTGCTAAATAAACTGTCGGGTCTCTGCATATACAACTTTTGTTTTTATTGCCTATTTCGTTTTCTTTTTGTCATGTGTCGGATTTTGATGCAACACCCTTTACATATATATATATATATATATATATATATATATATATATATATATATATATATATATATATATATATATATATCGTACCTATGTACACTAATGTGTATATCTCAATCCTCATAAATACGTTGGGTATTATTGTAAGTGGGGGTAATATGCTAAGTAATCCACCACTAGCAGTGGTTTACCCACTTCACGCCGCTGGCGAGTATTTTATTTTGTTGAAGTTATAAAGATTACCATTTCATTTTTAGACTTCATTTTGGTTATTTCTCATTCAGTAACCCTTTCTAGGTTACAACAAAAGAAAAGATAGAAAAATGTTGAAGAAGAAATCTTAACGAATGCAAGAGGAAGAGGAAGAAGAAGAAATTACTGAAAATTGGAAACCAGCAAGAATTTAATGAAGGAAAAGAAAAATGTGAAAGAAGAAAGTTGAAAGAAAAATAATGAAAAAAAAAAAAACGAGATTTAAGAGAATGTAATGAAGAAAAAGAGGATCAAAAAAGAAAAAAGAAAGAATGAAAGTACTGAAAGAAGAAGAAGAAGAAGAAGAAGAAGAAGAAGAGATACACGAGTAGATTTCATAGAATCTGATGAAGAAAAAGTAAATAAGGCACGAAAGAAAAAATGAAGAAGAAAATGAAAGAAGGAAAAAAGAAAAGAAAAACACTGAAAAAAAAATCTTCTATTTCATAGAATTTAATGAAGACAAAAAGAAAGTGTTAAACATGAAAGACAAAAAGAAGATGCAGAGGAAAGGAAAAAGAAAGAAAATATTACAAAAATACAAAAGTTGATTTTAGAGAATGAAGAAATAAAGCTGGAAATAATGGAATGAAAAAAAACGAAGAAAAAAGCGAAAGAAAAAGAAGGTAAAAACTGAAATGAATATATAAGAAAAGATTGAAGAAAATTGAAAGAAAAAAGATCGACGACGAATCAAGAAAAAAAATTAAAGAAATAAAGAAGGAAAGAAGATGAAAAAAAAAAAGAAGAAGAAACACAACAACAACAAAGACAACAGGAGCTGGGAGAATGACCGAAAAAAATAGAAATGTCAAAAGAGAAATATGAAGAAGAAAAACAAGAAGAGTCATGAAGGAAGACAAAATAAAACGCTAATGAAGAAGAAAAACATGAAAAGTGACAGAGATAAAGTTACCGCTACTTGTGAGTACTTCAATGAATCTATTGGAACCTTTTTCCAATCAATCTGAGGGCTCCAACTACAACTAGAATTATTGATGTCCTCATGTATCACATTTTTGAGATTTCCACTTCAAGATTCTTGTATTTTGATAGTTTTTTGTAGATCTTCAAAGATACATTACAGTTTGAGCGGACTTCCATGCTAATAAGAAAGCAGATTCTGTTCTTGCGGTCTTTGATCTTTGATGTCTGCGCGATTACCTTTGATTGTTCTGTCTCTGTGTATTATAAAGTACCATAAGATCGTTACAGGCCCTATCTCCGTAACGGGGTCTGGGTGGTGTTCATACCAATTTCTTGCAATTTCCTTTCCGTAAAAGTTACAGATTTTCCAGTGCTGATATTGGCCCACACTATCATGCCGAGTTTTATATTCAGTTGGTGCCAATACCGCGCAACCTGATACAAGATGGTTAATTTTTTCTGGATATTTATCACAGAATCTGCATTTTGGGCTAATACAATTCAACGATTCGTATGATTGGTAAATGCTAGTTAGCAAGCATTAGTCCTGTGCATCACAATTAAAACCTTCGCTTTCAGCTTTTAACCCTGCACTACGTAGCCACTGATGAGTACGGGCTTTGTCTACATCATTTTGTTTGGTACGGGCAGAGTAATGGCCGTGAAGCGGCTTATCTTAGCATCCTTTTTGTATCTGATCGGTTGCTTCCTTTTTTATGGATTTTGCAGCTGCATTCGGTGTATTATGCTTTACTTGTATTTCTTCACCCATCTAAAACTCCATTTTGAACTTGTTGGCTTCCTTTATTATCGAATAAAGTCGCTTACTACTTTCATGTTCTTTGACACAGATCATCTTCCAGTCTTCAGTAGTTACCAGGTATCTTTGAAAACCAATTGTTCTAGTTTTGTAAGACAGTTCTAGTTGAACTAATCCTCTACCTCCTTCGGATACAGACTATCGACATCAGCCTTGGGATGATGCATGCGGTGGCAAGTGAGAAGCCTTCTCGTTTTGGCGTCCATTTGCTTAATCTCAGCTATGGTCCAGTTAAGGATGCTGAAACTGAATTCTATCACAGGGACAGCCAAGGTGTTTATGGCTAATATATTTTTTTTTAGATTCAGTTCGGTATTCGGTACCAGACGGACACGCCTGTAATACGCCTTTCTCACCTTTTCCTCCATTTGGGTATGCTGTATTCCATCTCCTTCGTTAATTCCTAGGTACCCATAGACTTCTACTTGTTCAAGGTCTCTAATTTTTGTAACAAAAACTAGATCTATTGAATGTGTTTCTGTAATCCTCCCTTTCTGGAATGTTAACTTTACACATTTGTCTAATTCGAAATCCATACGTATGCCATCACTGAAACATTTTACAGTATTGAGGAGGCCCTTGAACTCATCGTCATCTTTGGCAAATTGTTCATCCATGTAGAATAGGTGATTGAATACTTTCTTGTTCAGTTTGTAATCATAGCTATTGTTGTTTAGTTCATACGTAAGGAGGATAAAGGACAAACGAAACAGAAGGGGTGATAGAGTGTCTCCTTGAAAGATTCCTCGTCGGATATTCAGGCGGTTGGAGGTGGCAATTGCCTCTTCTATGATTTAGGTTTAATGTGGTTTTCCACATTCCAATGCTGTGTTTAAGGACATTTACTATCACCGAGGAGACTTTGTACAATTCCAAAGTCTTAAGAATCCAAGAGTATGGCACACAATCAAAGGCTTTACGGTAATATATCCATGCCGTGCTGAGATTTCTACCTTTTTTTCCTGCAATTTTCCAGGATCATTTTGTTTATCAGCAGTTGATCTTTAAAACCATATAAACCTGTCCAGTATCCCTTCTGTTCCAGTGGAAGAATCTTGTTAGCTTCGACAAAAGAATAAATACGGTTCGTCAGGACAGACGTGATCAATTTATACATGGTGGACAGACATGTTATTAGCCTATAATTTTTCGGATCATCTGTTTCTTCCGTGTTTGCCAGGGGATATATAATTCCTTCAGTAATTCATTCTGGGACTTCAGTGAGATTATTAATAAGCATTGATAGAATTTGTGCACAGGTCTTATAGATTGATGACATGATAGATCCCAAAATTGGGTACCTTGTCATTTTCTGGGGATTTCTATTTTGGGGATTTTGTTAGAGCTTGCCTAACATTATTCCTGGTTATATTTTCCCATTCTTGTAGAGGTTTAGCCAATATTCGTTCTTCTCGTTGGATCCATTCTATATTGGGGTTATATTCCTTTGGGCTGCTCCAAATATTCTCCCAAAATATCTGCACCTTGTCAATAGATGGTGGCTTTTTGACATGAATAGTCGCTTTTCCAAATTCCCTGTAAAATTTCTTAAGGTCCGTTTGGAATATTTTATTTTGGTGATAGAACCTACAACGTTGATCGTATCGTCTTGTTCTTTGTGCATTTAACTGCAGTTTCTGTTTTAGCATTTCCTTGATTGATGATTTACTGATTAATTTTATATCTTCCTGCATTTGAGTGTTGAGACATTTGGTTTTCTTGTGATCTCATCGAGTATCGAAATCTCGCATCTGATTTTCTTTATTTCTCGCATCAATTTTTTTCCTTCCAAGATGGCGATTTTTGTCTGTTTGATCTTTTCATTGTCATGACCGCAAGCTTCCCAGTAGCTGATAAAGCTGTTGCGTATATTTATATCATTTACTTCTGTCGTTGCGTATATGATGTTATTTACTTGTTTATTATTTTTATTATTTCCTTTGATTTCTGTTGTATAGACATTTCCTTCCGGGTCCCAACCAGCGACCTAAGGTCAGAAATGGCTCCATGACATTTTCCACTGAGCATGTTTTGTAAAAAAAAAAAAAAAAATGAAGGAAATACTTCTACAACAGCAATCAAAGGAATTATTATTATTATTATTATTATTATTATTAGTTGTTATATAGAAATAAAGTGTCGCTGCCGACACTTGAGTTTGAACATAGATCGCCAGTGAGCAAGCACAGGCGATCCCATTATTTAATTAAGTAGACCACGTGACCATAGAGGAAAAGCATAAGTAGGAATTAGCTTGGTGTCTAATTGATTGCTATTTCTATTCTATCCTCTATTACTATACGGACCGCTATTCTCTACTCTATTCACTATACTATTTCTCTATTCGGATCACTATACGGATTACTGCTCGAGCGATTATTATCGAGCTAGTACTATTAGTACGAGTGTTATTCGAAGGTGTCTGACACCAATAGTGTTCAACGGCGTTATTATAGTTATATCTGCAATTACAAAGTCTCTACTACAACGAGCATTACGAAAGTGGCAATGATTTGACATCGCAAAATAATAATAGTAATAATGAGAAAAAGAAGGATAGCTATTTACATTATTTACAGTCAGACCAATGCTCCTATTTTTATTATTATTCAAACCTTTCGGCCGTTGAGCACTCTGGACTTCTTCAGGTGTCTGTTGATCCAAGAGGATTTTGAACTGAACCCTTTATTTAATCTACGGCTGTTGGGTGTTCGCTTTTTTTTTTTTGCTTTTTTTTTGTTTTGTTTTTTAGTATTGTTCTGTATTGCTAGTCATTTCAACTGGGTCCGAGTCTGCACCACCCGACCCAGGAATTGAACTCACAACCACTATGCTACAAAACTCATGAACCAAGCTTTGAATCCTCTAGGCTGAAATAGTGTTAAGGCGAAACATGAGAAAAGATTTTCATTAAATGATTTTATTAATAGCATTTACAATTGGAGAATTTCTAATGGTCTTTTGATTTTGATTTTGTTTTTAATTTCCTTTAAGCTGCCATCTTGTCTTCCTTACGCGTCCTTTCCTCGTTCCGTTTCTTTTTCGCATCTCTCCGTATCTGAACATTCTCATTTTTTTTTCTCCTGTTTGTTTTTTTTCTTCTTTCTCGTTCTTCGTTCTTTTTTCCTATGTCGCAAGGCTTCATTTTCTATTGTTGCATAATGGTGATACGTCATGTGTTCATTTATCTCAATGTGAAGGTGTGTTTTCAAACATGGCAGCCGCTGTTGTCTGCTTGTCCAAGAGACCTCTTAGGCGGCATAATAAGAATAAAACGATGCCTGGTATGGCCTCTGAAACACGTATAAATAGAAATGATATATTAATGTTTAAAAAAGAGTTGAACCTTAACTACGAATATGATACCAGCAACCATATTTAAAAAAAAATGATTCTGTTTTACGAAAGAGCAAATATAAGTAAACTGTGTTTACAGAATAATTGTAGCAGAGGAAGAGCGTTCGGTTGATGCAAAACAAAAATAAAAAAAAAACACACACCTTGATTTTCTTTTATATTGATTTGTTTTTTTACGGCTTATCAACCCTTTGTGGGTAATTTAGAACGGAAACATATTTTCGATTGTAAGAATAATGCTTTTTTTGCTAGCAAATTTTCCATCAACAATGATTTTTTCCAGTAATAAATCCTATTATTTAACCCATATCTGGGGGACAAGATGGATTCCTCTTTATCTCAAGGGTATTTGTGCGTAAGTTAACTTAACGAACCCGACTGGAATTCGAACTTGGCTCTCTGAGCTCTCATTTCGACCCACTATCCATTACACCACCCACACAACCGCTGACTCTTTTATAAAAAAACATTTCTAGATAGTTTCTTTTCATTAAATATTTTCTTTTCTGAAATTTATTCGCGGCAGTAATTTCTCTTTGCTTATTTTTGGAGAAAAAGATGTCAGAATTTCTTCTCTGGGGCTTTCTTGTACAAACGCTACTGGAAATATCAAAATTCTTTGAATGATATCCTGATAATATGTTGAGAAACAGTTTCTTCTTCTTTGCGCCGTGTCCTTTCAGGACGTGGTCGATCATGGCTCTCCACACACTTTTATATGTTGTAGCTGCTGACAACATTTGTCTC